CCTTGCCAAAAATTAAAATCAATAAATCCATCAATAACGTTATCACATTTGTCAGTGATATAGAAAAACTATTACTTTAAGATCAGAAGATTGATTTATTTTATCTGTACATCCATATTACATTACAATCTTGCAGATGCATGGTGAGTAACTCATATAGTAGGCAATATAATCCAGTTCAAAGTTTTCATAAACTGTTTCAATTTGGATGAATAATGCATGGGAGGTATATATACAATATGTATGCAGTAAGCTGAAATATGTTTACAGGAATTGCTAAATGTTTACTACAGATAACTATAATGTATAGTAAACTCTTCTTCGGGACTATATATTTCCTGTAAGTGGAACAAAGGGCCAGTTAAAGATCTGAATGCCATGATCATAACAAAGAAGACTGGCCAAATACGACACATTACCATCAATACTGGCATGTCATTTGGAGGGAATGAGGAACAAAACTGTGAACTGTGTATTATTGGGAACTACTGCCATTGGTGATTCTGGAGACATTATAATAAACCATGACACTCGAGGTTAATGGCTTAGAAATGTCTCCAGAACTCCCGAGATGGCATTTTTTTCTCCTAATACCTAGGTGTTCTTTTTGACTCCGACCTCTCCTGCAAGCCTCATGTTCAGTCTATCGCCAAATCCTGTCATTTCCATCTCAAAAACACTGTGAGAATCTGCCCTACTTAATGCCAGATGCGACTAAGGTGCTGGTCCATTCCACTGTCCTTTCTCACCTTAACCACTGTAATCCGCTTCTCAGTGGTCTTACGTGCTCCCAACTTGCGCCATTACAGTCCATAATGAATGTGGCGGCGAGGCTCATCTTCCTGTCCGCCCGCACCTCCCACGCCTCACCCTTCTGTCAGTCCCTACATTGGCTTCCTATAAGATATAAAGCTCAATTTAAAATTCTGGTTCTTGCTTTCAAATCTCTACATAATGCTGCTCCCACCTATCTATCCTCCCTTATACACAAGTATGTCCCATCTAGGCCCTTACTATCTGTTGAAGACTTACGTCTATCTTCTGTCCGAACTTCCACCTCTGATGCTCGCCTTCAAGATTTCTCGAGGACTGCACCGTTCCTGTGGAACTCGCTTCCCTCCTCTGTTAGATGCTCACCCCGCCCTCAGCACCTCTGTTCCTGTGTGTCCAACTTGTCTGGTTACAACTACATGTCTGTTTGTCCACCCATTGTAAAGCGCTGCGGAATTTGATGGCGCTATATAAATAACATAATAATAATAATAATATATATTTTACATTATATTATATTTTTACATGAGAGTTAATGTAAGTGGAAAGGTAGTGTGTGGGCATAATGGTAAGCAATACTACTTAGTGGGAGTTAGATTTGGAGATTTGTTTCGATCTGAATTGTTTAATTTCTCCCAAAGGGGTCCAATTATCAGGCATTCCCACTAAATATGTTTAAAATCTGCAGTTGGTTCATTGCATCTCCAACAGTTAGATGAGGCGTTCTATACAATCTATTTAGTATTTTATAGTGAGTTTCATGTATATTTAAGCACTGGCAGGCTTTATATAATGTATTAAGGGAATTATTCCATTTTTTCATAGTTATGTCCTTTTTCCAAATCATTATTCCATTTATTAATTGCCGAGGGAACTGGTTTAATCTGGGTCTTGTAAATACATTTTTGGCATTTATTTGCCAGATGAGTGTAGTCTGTTTGCTCATATAATTCAGAGAGAAACTTACATAGTTACATAGTTACATAGTTACATAGCTGAAAAGAGACTTGCGTCCATCAAGTTCAGCCTTCCTCACAAATGTTGTTGCTGTAGTCAACTCAGAGGAAGAGCTCCCTCGCCAGCCGCCCGCCCACCCAGCGCCGCCCGCCAGCCCAGCGTCCGGCATGTCTGTTAACCGCGAGGCTAACAAGGCATTTGCCCTGGGCATTTGGGGGGCGGCGTTTTTTGCCGCCCCCTGAAAAATGCCACCCAAGGCAAATGCCTTGTTTGCCTCGCGGCTAAAACACCCCTGAGTAGATCACATCCACTGCAACACCCTGATCTATACTTCTACTTACTTCTTCGTAGAATGCAATTAGGTTAGTTTGACATGACCTATGTTTCATAAAACCATGCTGATTATTGCTAATAACAAAGTTCTTCCCAGTGAATTCCTGAATATTATCCCTTAATAGCCCTTCAAATATTTTCACAGTTACAGAAGTTAAGCTCACAGGTCTATAATTTCCAGGCAAGGATTTTTAACCCTTTTTAAATATAGGAACAACATCTGCCTTCCTCCAATCCTCCGGTACAACACCTGAAACAAAAGAATTTTGAAAAATTAAATACAGAGGTTCACTTATTTCCCCACTTAGCTCCTTAAGTACTCGTGGGTGAATACTGTCAGGCCTGGGAGCTTTATTTACATTCATTTTCTTTAATAGCTGTAGCACCTTGTCTCGAGTTATGCAATCACAAGTTATTTGCAAGTTTTTTGCAGCAATCATTTGCATATCTCTTGACATAGGATCCTCATTAATATATACTGAAGAAAAATAGTTATTTAAAATTTCTGCTTTTTCCTGGTCTTAACTGGTGATTCGAGAGGGTTAAATCTTAAAAATGTATTAAAAATTATTTTTACCCTTATATAGTTAAACCATTCAGAAGAAGGTATACCGTAATTAGATTGGAGTTGTTCAAAATATTTTAATATATCTCCTATCAGGAGATTAGATATCTTTTGTTTATACCCCTAGGGGTCCATATTTCAAAATGTATATCCGTCAGTAAATCTGATAATATATTTATATTTATACCTGGAATTATCTTAATTTTTTAGACCAATTTCTTTTTTAAATTGAGACCAGGTGGGGAAGATTTGTTGAACTATCAACGATTTAGAATTTTTAATATATTGATTTGTTTCTTTATCTATGGGCCATAACAGGGCTTTGTAGTCCCTATCTCCCAAAGTCAGAATCTGTTCCCTTTTATACCAATTTTCATTTATAGAATCTTCCTTATTTATCTTTAAAACATATGCTATTAAATTAGCTTGTGCAATTTCTTGGATAATTGGAATACTCATGCCTCCTTCATTTTTTTTCCTGGACATGATATCTTTTTTTATCCTGGGTTTTTTACCTGCCCAAATAAATTTAGTACATGATGATTTGATTAAGTCTAACCAACTATCAGGGATCTTTATGGGGATCATTCTCATAATATACGAGAATTTTGGTACAATATATGCTTTTAATGTATTTATTATCCCTGACCAGGAAATTTCCAAAGTTTTCAATTTTTTTAAATTAGCATTTTTGTTTCTTTAATTAATGGTAAAATATTGATTTCTATCCATTTCTTTATGTTTTGAAATTTTAATACCCAAATAGTTAAAATGGTTAAAAAAATTAAAGTTTCTATCACCCTTGTATTATATTTATTGTGTTTTGGGGGCACACGAGTACCTGAAGAACAATAGCATCTGATTTTACAATATTTACCTTCCTACCAGAATCCTGTCTTCACAAATATAAAAGCACTTTGATAATATTTTGCCTGTTACAAATTAATTTGCCTGAAAAAATAAAATAAAAATTTATTATATATTTACTTTTAGTAAAAAAAACAAAAAACTTTCATTTTAAAACACAAAATCCCATCCCCTGTGTGATGAGCTGTGACTGTACTGCAGATAACATCACTTCCTCTGTATCTCAGCATCCTTTCTGTTCAAAGTGTGGAGATGAAAGACATTACGAATACAGGAAGCAAACGGCTTGACCAGGAAGTATACTTGCAGCATTTAAGATGAGTTACTACCATCGGTCAAACTTCACAGTCACAAATTCACTTATGCATTTTTGGAGTCTAGAAGACATCACATAAGCTCTTGTGGTATATAATTAATAATATATGTCCGATATAATATATGCATATTTAGAACATAAAACAATTCTAATAAAATTACGATATTACTAATGGTTTATCATATTTAAGTTATTTTTGCTAATGTCCAATTTGGAAGAATTCATTTTGAGATTTTACCTCTGCTTGAACAATTCATACCTTAGCCCTTACATTTTATTATGTTTCCAAGTTGATGAGATGTTATACATTTAATTGCTATAAGTTGACTTGCCCTCCCCTGGATTTTTCAGCTTGTTCTGATATTTTTCATGTGAGATTTAAAATGAACTGCAATACCGGCGCCGGCCAGTAGGTGCCGCGGTGTATGGAGAGAGACAGGGATAGGAAGCTGCATCTTATCCCTGCTTCTCTCTGCTGATTGAATCCGCAGGGGAACAACACATGCAGCCAGAGACAGCCTACAGATCAGGTAAGTGGGGGATGGGGGGAGGGTTTGAGATAGCCTATAGATTGGGGAGCCTATAGATTTGGGGCAGCCTATGGGGAGGCAGCAGCCTATAGAGATTGGGCAGCAGCCTATAGGGGCAGCAGCCTATAGATTGGGGGGAGGTGTGGGGCAGCAGCCTATAGATTGGGCAGCAGCCTATAGATTGGGGCAGCAGCCTATAGATTGGGCAGCCTATGTTGGGGCAGCAGCCTAGATTTGGGGCAGCAGCCCATAGATTTGGGGGCAGCAGCCCATAGATTTGGGGCAGCAGCTCATAGATTGGGGCAGCAGCCTAATAGATTTGGGGGCAGCAGCCGGCGATTTTTGTGTCAGGGAGTGAGGCTGGGGGGGGCAGCAGCCTATAGATTATGGGAGTGAGGATGGGGGGGCAGCAGCCTATAGATTAGGGGAGTGAGACTGGGGGGGCAGCCTATAGATTAGGGGAGTGAAACTGGGGGGGCAGCCTATAGATGAGGGAAGTGAGCAAAGGCGTGCACAGCCTATTGCATTAGGGTGTGCACCCTAAAGCACAAACACACGCCATGTGTATATGTATGTATGTCTGTGTGTGTATATATATATATATATATATATATATATATATACACACTGCTGTGTGTGTGTGTGTGAGGGTGCTGGTAGTGTGCTATGTGGGTGACGGTGTTTTTGTGTGTGTTTGTGAGAGTGCTGTTAGTGTGCTGTGTGTGAGGGAACTGGTAGTGTGCTGTGTGTGTGCATGTGTGAGAGGGTGTTTGTGTGTGCGTGTTTGTTCGGGTCCTGTTAGTGTGCTGTTTGTGTGCTGTGTGTGGGTGTTGTGTGTTTGTCAGGGTGCTGTTTGTGTGTGTGTGCTGTTTGTTTGTGGGTGCTGTGCGGGTGTTGTGTGTGGGTTTTGTGTGTTTGTGAGGATGCTGTTAGTGTGCTGAGTGTGTGTGGGTGTTGTATGTGTGTGGGTGCTGTGTGTGCGAGGGTGATGTATGTGTGTAGGTGCTGTTTGTGGGCTGTGTGTGCTGTATGTGTGTAGGTGCTGTGTGTGTGCTGTATGTTTGGTGGAGGTGGGGGCAGATTAGTTAATATCCCAGTCCTGCTGCCTTCCCTGGTGGTTCAGTTTAGAGTGAACTCTAGCCCGGGTTCTCTGCTGCCTCCCTCCATGCTGCTGTGGACCGGTGAGGTAGAACTTTGATCTCCCCACCGGCCAATGGAGGCTTAGACCAGAGCCGCCGCTCAATCCATTGGCGTGCCGCGGGGATTAGGGTGTGCCCAGGCCCACCCGACACACCCCGTGCGCACGCCTATGGAAGTGAGGGATGGGGGAGACAGCCTACATGAAGAGTCAGCAAGGAGCAGGAAGGTAAAGGAAGAAAAGGAGAAGGAACAGAAATGAACAGGAAGGGTCAGCAAGGAACTGGAAGGTAAAGCAGCACAAAGGTAAAGTAGAAGGAGCAGAAAGGGTCAGAAATGAGCTGGAAGGGGCAGAAGGAGCACAAACGTAAAGTAGGAGAATGAGCAGGAAGGGCCTGCAAGGAGCAGGAAGGAGCAGAAAGGGACAGCAAGGAGCAAAAAGGTAAATGAGCAGAAAGGTAAAGTATGAGAAAGAGCAGAAAGGGACCGCAAGGAGCACAAAGGTAAAGTAGAAAAGGGAGCAGAAAGGGTCTGCAAGGAGCAGAAAGGGATCAGAATGAGAAAGGAGCAGAAAGGCGCAAAATAAGCAGAAAGTAGCAGAAAGGTAAAAGAGCAGCAGGGGCCAAGGATAGAAAACAGTGTCAGAAGAAAAAAAAACGACTGTCAAATGAAGGAGAGGAAAAGGAGATTGGAGCAGGAAGGACTAATGAAGTGAACCCTCCACTTTATTCCGGACACCACATCATAAGGCTTTGGTACCTGGGCCAGGCAGGGAAACACTGGACCTTCTCATCTCCAAAGGTAAAAAAATATCAGTGTTAATGTGTTCACTTTTATTTACTGAGTGTCAGGAAGCACAGAGTGCCGTTAGGTAGGGGTGTTGCTGATTGGCTAGAGCGGTCAGCTGGCACTCTAAGCCAATCAGTAGCTTCCCATTCATAAAAAAGTTAAAATATTTTATGAACCGGGAACTAGCGATTGGCTTAGAGCGTCAACTGTCCACTCTAGCCAATCAGCGGCACCCATGCCTGACGTCAATCTGCAAATACCACTGAGCGACCTGGAGCTGGAGGAAGCCTTTGGGGTTAAACCATTTGAGAGCGATTTAACCCCTTAAAGGAAAGCGAGCACCCAGGGGCATCCTGGCATCATAGCATTTTCATTTAGGTGAAGTTGTTATGGTGACCAGAATGGTCCTTTAATTTGCTTAAAGGAACACCATAGTGTCAGGAATACAAACATATATTCCTGACACCATAGTTGTGAAAACGCTATTCACCCTGGCTTTATGTGATAATGGCTATGCCCCTTCCCTTTCATGACACTGTCAAAAAGGTACCAAGCATGGATGTCATTACAATTATGCCCCCCCCTGGAAAAATTCCTGCGGACGCCCATGCTAGTCTGCCCAATTTTCTAAATACTTTCATTAGTCCCTGGCCTTATCTTATAGTTAGGATAGCTTTATGCCCATCCACGCATGCTTAAACTCCTTTACTGTGTTAACCTCTCCCACTTCAGCTGGAAGGCTATTCCATGCATCCACTACCCTCTCAGTAAATTAATACTTCCTGATATTATTTTTAAACCTTTACCCCTCTAATTTAAGACAATGTCCTCTTGTTGTGGTAGTTTTTCTTCTTTTAAATATAGTCTCCTCCTTTACTGTGTTGATTCCATTTATGTATTTAAATGTTTCTATCATATCCCCCCGTCTTGTCTTTCCTCCAAGCTATACATGTTAAGATCCTTTAACCTTTCCTGGTAAGTTTTATCCTGCAATCCATGAACCAGTTTAGTAGCCCTTCTCTGAACTCTCTAAGGTATCAATATCCTTCTGAAGATACGGTCTCCAGTACTGTGTACAATACTCCAAGTGAGGTCTCACCAGTGTTCTGTACAATGGCATGAGCACTTCCCTCTTTCTACTGCTAATACCTCTCCTATACAACCAAGCATTCTGCTAGCATTTCCTGCTGCTCTATTACATTGTCTGCCTACCTTTAAGTCATCAGAAATAATCACCCCTAAATGCCTTTCCTCAGATGTTGAGGTTAGGACTCTATCAAATATTCTGTACTCTGCCCTTGGGTTTTTACGTCCAAGATGCATCATCTTGCACTTATCCACATTAAATGTCAGTTGCCACAACTCTGACCATTTTTCTAGCTTACCTAAATCATTTGCCATTTGGCTTATCCCTCCTGGAACATCAACCCAGTTAAATATCTTAGTATCATCAACAAAAAGACATACCTTACCATCAAGACCTTCTGCAATATCACTAATAAAAATATTAAAGAGAATGGGTCCAAGTACAGATCCCTGAGGTACCCCACTGGTGACAAGCCCAAGCTTCGAATATACTCCATTGACCACAACCCTCTGTTGCCTGTCACTCAGCCACTGCCTTACCCATTCAACAATATTTGAATCCAAACTTAAAGATTGCAGTTTATTGATAAGCCTTTTATGTGCCACAGTGTTAATATATACTGAAATTTAGGTAAGCAATGTCTACTGCACCACCCTGATCTATAATTTTAGTTACCCAATCAAAAAAATCAATAGAATTAGTTTGACATGATCTCCCTGAAGTAAACCAATGTTGTCTCTGATCTTGAAATCCATGTGTTTTTAGATGTTCAACAATCCTATGCTTTAACATGGTTTCCATCACTTTCCCCACTACTGAAGTAAAGCTTACTGGCCTATAGTTGCCTGACTCCTTCCTATTACCTTTCTTTTGAATGGGCACAACATTTCACTAACTTCCAATCTTCTGGGACTACTCCTGTTAACAATGATTGGATAAATAAATCTGTTAATGGTTTTGCTAGTACACCACTAAGCTCTTTTAATAGCTTTGGGTGTATTCCATCAGATCCCATTGACTTATTTGTCTTTACTTTTGACAGTTGAAATAGAACCTCTTCCTCTGTAAACTCACGTGTAATAAATTACTAATTTATCCTTTTTTCTTAACTGAGGACCCTTTCCTTCATTTTCATCTGTAAATACCGAACAAAAATATTCATTGAGGCAGTCAGCTAGACCTTTATCCTCTTCTACATACCTTCCTTCTTTTGTTTTTAATCTAGCTAATTCTTGTTTTACTTTTCTTTTCTCATTTATGTATCTAAAAAAAGTTTTGTCCCCCTTTTTTACTGACTGTGCTATTTTCTCTTCTGTGTGTGATTTGGAAGCTCTTCCTTAGCCTCTTTCTGCCTAATCGTGTAGCTCATTCTGTCTTCCTCACTCTGGTTTTTTTATAATTACTAAATGCTAACTTTTAGTTTTTTATCATTTTGGCCACATCTGCGGAGTACCACAGTGGTTTCTTAAATTTTTTGCTTTTACTGACAAACCTAATGCAATTTTATGTTGCCTTCAGTAGTGCAACATTTAAATCATCCCATTTCTCTTTGACTCCATTTAAATTGCTCCAGTCTGATAATGACTTCTTTATACATATTCTAATTTTAGAAAAGTCTGTTTTTCTAAAGTCTAAAACCTTTGTTTTTGTGTGGTGTGACTCAGTCACTGTTCTTATATTAAACCACACTGACTGATGATCACTGGATCCTAAACTTTCACCTACAGTAAAATCTCCATTTGTTAACACTAAATCTAGTATGGCCTCTTTACGAGTTGGCTCCTCAATGACTTGTCCTAGAGACAAACCCAGTAGGGAGTTTAGAATATGTGTGCTCCTGGCACAAGTAGCTAATTTTGTTTTCCAATTTACATCAGGAAGATTAAAGTCACCCATGATGATAACTTCCACCTTCATTGTCATTTTAGCTATTTCCTCAACTAGTAGATTAACTCTTCAATTTGTCCTGGGGGCATATAAATCACACCTACACGAGTTACTGTGTGATTACCAAATTCTAACGTAACCCAAACGGACTCTATGTTCGCCTCACTAACTTTTATCAGGCTAGATTTTATGTTATCCTTCACATACAGGGCCACCTCTCCCTCTTTCTTGCCTCCCCTGTCTTTTCTATATAAAGAGTACCATGGTATTGCTATATCCCAGTCATTTTTCTCATTATACCATGTCTCAGTAACAGCGACTAAATCTACACTATCAGTTGCCATTATTGCCACAAGTTCATGGATCTTATTCCCTAAACTGCAAGCATTTGTAGACATGACTCTAAGCTTATCATTTTTTAACACACTTGCTGCAGGCACCTTCTGTCCTGTTTTGGGGGACACTTGGATTGATGTTTTATCACCCTTTTGCACCCCCCTCCTAGTTTAAATACATCCTAGCAAAACCTCTGAACTGCTCACTGAGAACATTTGTTCCCTTTTGAGAAAGATGCAAACCATCTTTTTTGTACGGTTTATTTCCATTCCAAACAGAGCTACCATGAGAAATAAAGCCAAATCCTTGCTCCCGACACCATTCACCAAGCCACAAGTTAAAGTCCCTAATACGCATCTGCCTGTCGTTCTGAGTGTTATGCACAGGCAGAACTTCAGAGAATGACAGTGTGGAAGCAACCTGCCGTATATCATTGGCAAAACCACAAAAAACTTCCTTAACCTCTGAAACCTCATTGCAAGCCATGCAATTTGTCCCTAGATGGACAAGTACATCCAATTCCCCTTCCTGCTTTGCTAGCTTAACAAAATTACAGATACGTCTCCTGTCTCTGTGAGCAGTAGCTCCAGGAAGACACCTCACAAGACCACCATTGTCCATCTCCACACCTCTTATGATGGAATCCCCCAACAACAACAACTATTAGGCCTCAC